GGACAGGCAGGGGCCCGAGGAAGGGATCCTCGAAATTCCTGGATTCCCGCACCACACTAGTTGAAAAGCGATCACTTTCTCTCCGTCTCAATCGCCTATTACTATTTTGACTGCTTTATGTTCCTCCTCCAGCCGCAAGTCATTTAAATTGGCATTTTCCTCCGGCACCATGCATCCATCAGTGACTGTTGTTGAAATTTTTCGTTTCGACGGATCTTATTAAGATCGATGCAAGGTTTTGCCGTTCTAAGCAGCTAGTTGTATGTCTGAAGTATTATCTTCAGACTGAGAACAGATCAGAAATATGTTGGGAAAAATGGTGAAAGAGCACAATGCGTCACAGCAGTTACGCAGGGAATTGCAAGGTGGGCACCACCTTTCTACCATTTTCTTATCGAAAAGCCAACGCTAACAAAAATAAGACTTCGAAGAATTCAGTTGTAGATTCATTGAAATTATGAAATTCCATTATCCATCCGTGTTCATCTGTCTCAAATCAGCATTTTTTTCCAATTGTTCTTGTGTAATAATGTCATTTTTGATACAGAAAAACGCAAAAATGAAGCGATTGTAGCGGCGCATAATCTAACAGGAGCTATCGTTGACCATCTTAATTATTCGTTAGTTTCGTTTTCTGTATTTAGCAGTGACTTTTCCTGCTTCTATTTCTCTTTTTTTTTGACTTCAAGTGTAAAAATAAAAATCAATGAAGTTATGCATAAATTTTTAGAAATACAAATATTCTCAAAGTCCATCTTCGTTAAGAATGCGAACATGGTGTTTTGTGAACAAATTAAGAGATAGATGTATTCCGAATATGTTGTTGATATAATGAGCGTGCATTTGCAGTGTATCACGAGCGTACAATAATCAAAAACGACTCGATATCGAAGCGAAAAAACTGGAGAACAATGCCACAAATTTAGCGAAGCAAACTGAGCAATGGATACATTTAACAGATTCGTTGAACCAAGCCCTCAAGGTAATTAATTGAATGTGATTATCACACAACTCAGAAACGTCCAGTATTCGAATATTTTTGAATTGTGAGCAAACTGTTTCTTCATTTGAGCA